TTCACTATGTCAGGGAGGAGGGGAAGGAGCTCGAAGTCGATGGGCATTGTCTTGCCACCCTCGACGGCGACCGGCGCTACCATCTGCACAACGTCCTCCTCTCCCTCCTCATGGTCATCAGGGATGACCAGTACCTCCTCCACGTCGTCCTCCACGACGTCAGAGCCCAACGACAGCACTGGCTTCGACACATGGCAGACCTGGTAGTCCGGTTTGACGGGCGCAGGGACAGCGAGCTCGACGTCGACGCGGTCTGCCCTCTACGCGACGCATGCTGAATCTGGCCGCAGCGTCATGGTGGTGGAGCGGTACATCCACCACCTTGCGCACTGAACAGGGGAGTCACTCAGCGTGGCCTCTCGCATTGACCACACGAGTAGGACAGCCGGCGGGACGCCGCGGCCGTAGGGGAAGGCGCGCTTCCTCTCGGCGTCGGTGAGGACTTTGACGAGGCCACGCACGTGGTTGACCAACATCTCCGTGCTGGGGAACCAGCCGCACACTTCCGTCAACTGCGCGCGCCACCCCTCATCATCGCCGGCGAGGTCCATCATCGCTCTCTACCAGCCGAGGCTTCTCTCCATGGAGGAGGCTGCAGCGGTCGCCGGCGAGGGTATTCTCGATCTACTGTAGGTGGGGATAAGAGGGGAGTTCGAACAGGCGCCCGTGGGAGGTGGGTGAGTGTGTGGTGGGGAGGAGAGTGGTACAGTTACTTATTTAATGGCATTTAGGACGTGGGCAGGGGAAATGTACAATAACATTCTTTCTACCTCCCGCCCCGGTCATTACACAGTAAAGAATTTTTTTGATTTTTTATAGGGAAACATCTTACTTTATTTAAACAAAGACTGAGATCTCGTCTGCTAATACACTAAGGATACAATCAGGGGGCCAAAGCCTCCAAACCAAAGAAACACAAGTGCCTACAACTACCTTAGCCAAAGTATGAGCCGGCCGATTAACACAGTAAATAATTGAAGCAAGTGTTCTACTCTTGTTCCTTCTCCACTTTTTTGCACCTGATAGAAGACAAGCTAAGTTAATGAATGATACAAACTTTAATAATCCACAATGCATACAAACACTTACTTCTGATTTAGTTTGCATTTCTTGCTACGTCTAGTGTGTCCTACCAATTTGCAAGTGCCGCACCGGGTTTTCAAATCATCAAAAGAGAGTGGTCTATCATTTTTTGAGACAGGGCTTCTCTCATCTGCCTTTGTTGCACCTTTGCTTGACACTTTCATAGGATCTTTAACCTCAATCATGTTGCCTTCACCATCGTCCACATATTCAACTGCACACTTACTGATGTCATTTGTTTGCTTCAACAAATTTTCCTGTAGCAGATCATACTCATGACTCTTAGCTATCACAGCCTTCAAACTCTCCTGTAACTGATCCCACAAAGCAGGGTGTTTGCATGCCGCATGCATAGCTTCAGACGCTAACACACTGACCTGGCTATATTTCATTCTTTCCCCGGCCCCAGTCCAACCAAATCCCAACAGATCGCTTGTGCGCCTCGCGGGCAGTCCCAACCTTGCTTCTTTCGTGAACCGAATAAGAACTAAACACTTTGGTATTTCAGATATGTTCAAGTGCTTCAGTACATGGAATATGTGCTTGCAAGGTAGACCCTTTCGAATCATTCTTCTGCAGCTGCACCTTATAGTTTCTGTGGAATTTACTGGTGTATACTCCATCCAAAAACAGCGCTTTCGGTTATTCTTCCAGGCCACGATGTACTACTGTGATCCGTCTCCCAGCTTAATTTCTACAATCTCCATGCCGTCAATTTTTCTAAGATCATCCTGCAACATATAGAAGTTTGCTGGAGTGAAGACGTAAGAAGCAGCTATCCCAAGTTCCCTCGAGCTAGTGACTGGCACTAGTAAACTCTGTGAGGCCGTGCAGTCATCTCGCGCCTCGTTTTCACGGACACGCACAACGGCGTTCTCATAGTGCAAAATCATTCCACCAGGGTCATTTCACCGTCTAGGTGGAGGTGAAGGCATGAGTTCAGGCTTTCACTCCGCTGGTTGCTTTTCATGCCAAGCCAAAACCCCTCTGTTAGATATGTCGCGGCCCACAGTCTCCTCTTCTTATACATCCGCCTCAATCATGTTACAGTTTTTTCCGACTGCCATTTTTTGGAAAATGCGTGCCATCTCTCCTCAAACGTTGCCGTGGACGTGCTGTAGTACAGAAGAGTTCGGAACTCCTTCAAGGACTTGTGACTGAGGTGAATCTTCATATTTTTCTCTATGTGCCACGTACATATACGGTGCCATACGTCTGGCAAGACTTCGTGAATTGCCTTGATCATCACAGCGTCGGCGTCTGTGATAACACTCTTAGGCATCTTTTGACACATGGACCTCAAAAAAGTTTGCAGAAGCCACACGTATGTCTCCTCGGTCTCATCCGAAACTATGGCACAACCAAAAACAGTGGTCTTCTGGTGATTGTTAAGACCAACAAAAGGTATGAATGGCATACCATAGCGGTTCATCTTGTACGTGCTGTCAAATACAAGCACGTCGCCGAAGTCCTCATAGTCATGACGAGACTGGGATTCGCACCAGAACATCCTATTCAAATGTCCTTCCTTATCTAGCCTGTACTCGAAAAAGAAGCTAGGATCCCTCTGTTTCCTACTGGCCATGATGCCTATGGCTGTGGCAGCATCACCTTTTGAAAGCAGCTTCCTCTTCTCCTTGGCGCAAAGGTTGTATATTTCACGCCTGGTAAAACCAACACCGCCGTACCATACATGCTTGCTGATGAAGCAATCCATCATGTCGTGAATTCTAATCCCTGCAGCTCCCATGGACATTATCTCATGCTTCTGGTACTCTTTGATTTTTCTGTGGGACCAAAGAAAAGGTACCTTGTCCGGTCCTGCCAACATATGGCTATGCTTGTCCTCAAAAATTTCAACATACCAAACCCCACGCTTTTGGTCAAGCTTGACGGTCAGGTGCGCTTCACAAAAGCAGCGTGTCTCGGCTCTGAGCCTACGGTTGTGTCCTTCCTCGGTTAGCAACTTGCTGTCACGTTTCCCTTGTCTTGAACAAACAAACCGCCAATAACGCATATGACTTGACTCTGTTTTGCTATACCTGACCTTATTCTTTCTAGTGCTGAAACCATTATCTCTAGCATAGCTGTTGTAGAAATCATACGCAGCATCGTGAGACATAAAGGTCATTTCCATTATCTGCATTGAACATATCCCTCTTATCATCTGCACTGGCAGTATCTTGGACATTCTTTGCACCATCATCTTGTGTCACCTACACAATCAAACCACAGCCATGAAAACAGATTTCTATGGTTTAACATTACTTACTTCCATAGAACATTGATTACACACATACCTCACTCATGATGACCGACGACTCGGACTCCCCAGAATCAGGTGCATCTAATGATTTGTCGTTAAGGCCTGTCTCCGCGTCGGATTCACCGTAATAGTCGTACGCATTATGACATTCGGAAATGAACTGAAAAATACAACACAAATACATAATTACTTATCATATAATATTCCAGAAGAAATTCAATTTGCATGCCAACAAATTTTTTCACTTACGTACCTGACTAATGTAATCTTCATTCGAGAGCTCCGAGTTGTTTTCCTGATCATCATCAAGCTCATCGATCTATAAATTTTCAACACAAAGATTTAATGTTGTCGGATACCACCAAAAAATTACAACATGACAATGCCACTCACATTAAGATCGTCCCATTCGTTCCCATTCTCTGACCGATCTTCACGATCTGAATTTTCATCATCTGACCAATCTTCTATCCAGTCTTTCATCAGTTCTCCAAACTCCATGTCTACCATGATATCAGTTAACTCCTCCTCTGCCATTTCCTACAACCAATATTATGTATCATCACGTGTGCAAACATTATCAATGATGAAATATAAAACACATAGCACACGATCACGGATGTTATGTAAACAACCGCAACCGAGGCCGTTTAGATCTGCCAAACTTATCAAGGAAGATGGCTACGGCACCCGTCGTGATCACTTTCAATCGCGAGGAACTGCACGATCTCAAAACCTAGCTAGATCTGTGATTACCTCTGCCGCCAGATACCTAGGTTAGCCGCCACATCAAATAACGATACTGGTGGTGCGCACAGCCGACGGCAACCGACGCTACGTGAATCCAGATCACGAGGAGCAGCACTACCGGAATAAGATCCACGATCGCATGCGCCGCCGGGTAGCTAGGTTACCCGCTCCGCTAGGTTAACCACTGCCACTGGCGCGGCGGCAGTTCGTTCGATGTTGCCGCGAGCGAGACTAGAGGGGGGACGCGGGATGCGGTACCTGTGCGCGATCGTTGGAGATTCACGACGTTGTCGCGCCCGCTGTCCGACGAGATCGCCGGCGACGAGATAGCCGCCGGTGGAGATCTACTACGTGACTTATGGAGCTGCGTCAACGCTCGCGAGATTGATGGAGCTGCTCGCGTGAATGATTGGATTCGGCAGGTCTTACGTGGACGTGGGGTCGTGTGATGTTTTTTTTTCGGACCAGGGTACTGTACGTATACGGTCTGGGTTATACAGGGCTTGACAGGGCTTGGATCTAGGCTGGGGCGGGCCAGGAAAAAAACAAATTCGCGGGGATAAAAATACCCCTCCGAAATTAGGTTAGGGGGAGCACTGGAGCAGGGCTCCGTGTCCGAGACCCAAAAGGAAACATGTACTCCTACATTGCGAATTCTGGATCAGTGCTGCGAGTGGTCGAATCCTGCTTCGTCACGCCGAGCGGCGCGACGCCGCGGAAACGGCTGTGGCTCTCGGCGCTGGACCTGGTGCTGGCCAGCAGAGGCCACACCCCGCTCGTCCACTTCTACAGCGCCGGTGACGTCGCCGCCGCCGGGGACGGCTTCTTCGACGTGGCCAGGGTCAAGGAGTCCCTGGCCAAGGCGCTGGTGCCCTTCTACCCTCTCGCCGGCCGCCTCGGCATGGATTCCGATGGCCGGTTCGAGATCGACTGCAACGGGGAGGGCGCCCTCTTCGTCGTGGCTCACTCCGACCGCACCTTCGACGACTTCAGCGACCACAAGCCGTCGCCGGAGATACGGAGGCTGTTCTGTCCTCCCGTTCAGCCGTCGTCCGTTATACTGGCCTTACAGGTGACCTTCTTGATGTGCGGCGGTGTGGTACTGGGGACGGCGACGCACCACGCCGCGGCCGACGGTCCCAGCATCTTCCATTTCATCCGGACGTGGGCAGGCTACTGCAGGGACGGCGAGAGCGCGGCGGTAGAGCTCCCGTGCCACGACCGCGGCCTCCTCCGCGCGCGGTCCCCGGCCGTCATCCACCCCGAGACCATCCCCACGTTCTGCAGCAGGCTACCCCAGCACGAGCCGTCCGGCGCCGTCGCAACCCAGGTCTTCACCATCTCCAAGGACCAGGTGCACGCCCTTAAGCGCCTGTGCGGCGGCGCTAGCACGTTCTGCGCCGTGAGCGCCCTAGTTTGGCAGTGCGCATGCGTCGCCCTGGAGCTGCACCCGAAAGCGACCACGCGCATCAACTTCCCCGTGGACATCAGGCACCGCCTCACGCCGCCGCTGCCGGCCCGCTACTTCGGAAACGGAATGGCTTTACACACGACACAAACTGCACGATCTGTGAACGATAACACTGTGCAGTAGCCTTCGGAAACGGGGTCGTCAACGTGTTCGCCACCGCCGCGGTGAAGGACGTCGTGTCGGAGACGCTGGCCTCCGTCGCCAGCCGGCCAGCCGGGTGAGATCCGCGACGGAGCGGCTCGACGATGAGCTGCTGAGGTCCGCCGTGGACTACTTCGAGGTGGCGGAGAAGGACGGGCAGACGGAGCAGAGGGGGAACCTGCCGGAGACGGAGCTGCGGATGAACAGCTGGTACCACCTGCCCATGTACGACGCCGACTTCGGATGGGGGAAGCCGCGGGTGATGACGAGGGCGGAGGCTGTACGCGGCGGCTGGGTGTACCTCTTGTCTGGCGGCGGCGATGGCAGCGCGCGCCTGCTCATATCTTTGGAGCCGGCGACTCTCAGCAAGTTCGGGCTCGCAGTTGCTGAACGCCAAGTTCTTGCCGGTGTGCATGCTAGGCTGTGACCATGCATCATGCATGCATGGATTTTGTTGACGAGGTGAACATATTTCACTGACAAAATATGTTGACGGAGTATTTTATCCCTCGAACAATCTGTAAGAGTTGCACGAATATTTTGCTTCCCATGCATGCACACTTTACTTGATTTTTCCATATAAGGTGAAACTATTAAACAGGTTAGAGAAAAGTATGTTTTTCGTCCCTCAAGTTCCCAAAAAGTGCAGACTTCGTCCTTCAACTTTTTTTGGTCTACTTTTGGTCCCTCAAGTTTCAAAACCGGTCAAGTTTCGTCCGAATTCCGGTTTCGCTAGAAAACAGGACACGTGGCGTGGTATTCTCTCTCCCCTCACTTGCCACGTCCGACCCGCCGTTGGGTCAAACAGACAGCCCGCGCGACGCCGTCTTCACTCTCTCCCCCTTTCCCTTTCCTCTGTGACCTCTCTCCCAAACCCTAGGCTTTGTGGCGGCGGATCCCGATTTGGCGTGGTGGTCAGCGTTGGCGTTGGAGCCAGGGACGGCGGCGCCCTTGAGAAAAACTACGGCGGCGCCGATGCAGTATACCTAGGCGCAGATCTACGCGGCGGCGCAGGCGGGTGTAGTGTTGCGGTTGCGGCGGCGCTGATCCAGTATACACCGGCGACGACGAGAACTATCAGGACAGCGACCACCGGCAGACCTTCAGGTAGGTTTTTTTTTGCGTATATTGTTTAGGATTCGTAGGTAGATGCCATCCACTTAGGTTGTAGCCGAATCTGAAATTTGTGTCCATCTATTATAGGGAGTAATGGATCCTCTGGATTTAATTCATGTCATGTTCCATTATAATGGAGAATTTGTGAAGAATGGGAACCACATGATATATTTGGGAGGCAGTGAAGCTATGTCAGACATTGACAGAGATAAGCTTTCTTTGCCCGAGCTTTTGGGGCATTTAAGAGATCATTGCACTGATGTGGAGAGGATACAATGTCAGTTTTATTGGTTAGTTCCAGGAAAAGAGATGAATGATGGACTTGTTTTTCTGCATGATGACAACATTGTTCTTAAGATGGCTGAGTTTGTTTGTGATGGAGGTGTTGCATATGTGTATGTTGAGAAGCATGCTTCTGCTGATGGGGAAGAAACAGTTGCAACAGCATGCTCTGCTGGAGAGGAAGAGGAACAATTCACCCCTTTAAGTGTAGTTATGCCAGAAGAACAAGTGCCCAGGTTAGATGGGAATACTGATGCACAAGATGGAGAGTCTGATGAAGAGGACAGTGATTATATACCTGATGATGAGTCAGCATCTGAGGATGATGAAGAAGCAAGAAAGATCAATGCTGACTATGTAGAGTACAAGAAGAAACTCAGGGCTGGCAACATTGACATTTTAGATGAAGTGTTCATTACAGATGCAACAGTAGGTTCAAGGGAAAATGTTGGAGAGGATGCAGCTGCTGTTGGATATCATCTTATCGGTGAACATGAGCTCCAATGTCAGATATCTTATCGGTGAACATGAGCTCCAATTCCATCTTGCAATCTTCAGCCTTCAACTTATCTGCATAAAGTGCATTCATAGATCTCTGCGCTGGTGCAGGCCATTCAGGATCATACCACATCAGAAAATCGCATGCTTGTTCATCCTAAAATTCAAATAAATTGCATCAGTTCATCTGAACATTACCATGCAGATTTGGTAGAAAGAAATGAATGCGACAACTAAATTCACCTCCCGCATGCAACAAATGAACCTTCTGCCAGTGTTCACACCTTCATAAGCAACCTTTCTCACCGGCAAAAATCCACAAAAACAACTAAAATTGCTCTCCGTTTCAATGCCGCAAAACTCTGGATCTTCGATTGCGAGTGGCACTTTGCCGGATATCAGTTCCTCAGGCATATAGACCTATTCAACGACAAACAACACCCAACAGCACCTCCCCTTAGTCCCTCAATCACCAAGGAAGAACCCTAAATCCCCAAATCCCTAACCCTAGATCACAAATTGGCACTTACCTGTGTAGGAGCACAACTGCTTCTGTCCTCACTCATCCACCCAAGGATCTCCTCGTGAGTTCGCATGGCGCCGGCAGCGAAGGGGAACAAGGCGCTGGCAGCGAGCAAGGCGACGACGCCGGGCAAGGCGACGGTGAGGTCGGGACGGAGAGAGAGAAGAGGAAGAGAAGAGCGCGAGGTGGAGAGTGAAGACAGCGTCGCGCGGGCTGTCTGTTTGACCCAACGGCGGGTCGGACGTGGCAAGTGAGGGGAGAGAGAATACCACGCCACGTGTCCTGTTTTCTAGCGAAATCGGAATTCAGATGAATCTTGACCGGTTTTGAAACTTGAGGGACCAAAAGTAGACCAAAAAAAGTTGAAGGACGAAGTCTGCACTTTTTGAGAACTTGAGGGACGAAAAACATACTTTTCTCAACAGGTTACCTCGTACTACTAAACTTCTTCTTACTATTATACTCCCATTAAATTTCTTTTTGCTATTTCCCACCCTTTGTGCATACAACACCATTTCAACCCCATCTTCAAATCTTATTTATTCAAAGTTTTATGTTCCAACCACACACAATTCAACAACATTTGAAATCTATGTTTCCTGGAAATACAAAATCAAACACAACATAATGTGCCTTTCATAATAATACAAAAGATTCGTTGACGGCGTCAGCTAGGACACCATATGCGATCACATGCATTATTGTTGTTATCTTCTGCAAAGCACCATGGCCAAGTTCTTCGGCTACATTCCTCTTTTGCTTAAGTAATAATGATTATCGTCCACAATGGTTACAATATTGTCGATGCACGAAACTCGCCTACAAGGATCCCGCCGATAGACCATCTTGAAGCGAAGAAGTAAACACAAAAACTAGATTTACACAAGCTAGCTAATAGCCCCATCCCCTACCTATGTCGATTTTATTATTATTATCGTCAAGAGAGATTACAAAGTATATGGTGGCTAACAATAGCTAAAATCCTAAAAACCTAGCATCCTAAGCTCCCAAATTAGATCTATGACTTCCCACAAGATTGTGGACTAGACCCGGCTATAATTCTAAAAACCGCCTAGTCTTTTCCCGTGGATTCTTGAACAAACGCAACTTTGGTGGACTACAGCTACTATCCACCGGCCGACCCACATCCAGCCTACCCAGGCCTTTGCCGGGGCTTCATGGTTGCAGACCTCATATGCACTCCTTGGGCATTGCCTCTCATGGGCCATGGCCCTCCATTTTGCCAGGTTTCGATAGCTTGCTAGGTCTGCCACTAGAGAGCTCTTATGTGATGTTGTGTCAAAGAGTAAACCTATCACACATAGCGCCCACCACTGGCCGGCACGTATTGGCACTACAAAAGAAACAACTGCGTTAGAAAAGGTTAAAATCAAAAAAATTTGTAAAGTAATTAATTTTTAAAAATCTCACAAAAATTTAAAATTTCCCACATAATTTCAAACTGTTCATAAATTCTAAATTGTTTATGAATTTAAATTTTCTATTGAGTTTTAAAATATTTTTAGGATTTCTTCAATTTTTCTATCAATTTTTTTAAATGCAAACATTCGATATCTATTTTGAATTTATTGTTTTGGAATTTTTAACATTTAAAAATGTGTGCACATTTCTTAAATATGCACACAGTTTAGAAAAATTTTGATTTGTTTTTCAATATTGTTAAAATTTGTTATTAAAAGAAAATACAAATGAAAAAAAGACAACAATAATAAAGAACAAGAAAGAAATAAAAAAGTAAATTAGAAACAAAAAACAAATAGGGGCAACATCATAAAAGAAGGGGAAGGAGAAAAAAAAGATGAGAACCTTCTAAAACTTTCCTTAAACCGCCAATGCCACTCTTGGAAGTTCAGCCGGCCACTAACACTCTCCAGACATTGCGCACATTCGGTGCCAATGAGCGACAGATGGAATTTATCCTGCCAATGATGTGTATCGCCCGTTGTGAGTGTTAAACATGCAGTCGCACACGTGCACTCGAAGTGGCAGCCCATTAATCACGCTACGCGCGGTCGCAAGCCAGCCAGTTTGGGGAAGGTTCTAGATGCTTCTCTGCAGTGTTTCGATTCATTTTTTTCTTTACTATTTTTCGGTTCTCTTTTCAGTTTTTATTTTTTTATTTTTTCTTCTTTTGTTTTTCCTGTTTCTTCTTTTTTCTTTATTTCACGAATTTCATCAAATTTTCAAATTTAACATATTTCTCTTTTGAAATTTCAAAAATTATTAATGTTTTCCAAAAAAATTGATATTTCAAAGGTTGTTCACAATTACAAATTATCTTCGTAATTTCAAAAATTGTTTTTCAATTTCAAGAGAGTTTCCATAAATTTCAAAAATTGTTCACACATTTCAAGAATTTATTTAGGACTTCAAAATTTGTTCACTTTTTCAAATATTTTTTTTATAATTCAAGATTTTTTATTTCACACACATTTTTCAAAACTGGTGAACATGTTTATTCTGCATGGCAAGCCAGGTAGAATAGATGCTTCTATGCAATTTTTCAATTCTTTTTTGTCTTTTTTCTTTACAAGCTTTGTGTTTTTTATTTTTCGTTTTTCCAATTTCGTTTTCCCTGTTTCTTTATTTCTTATCTTCTCTTTTCTTCATAACTTAAATTTCATTAACAATTCAAAATCCTTTTTTTTGAAATTTCGGAAATTGTTCATCTTTTCCAAAAATAAAATCTCGAAAATTCAAAAGTTGTTCACAATTAGAAATTATGTGTGGAATTTCAAAAATTGTTTGTCAATTTCAAGAGAATTTCCATAAATTTCAAGAATCATTCTCATTTTTCAAGAATATGTTTAGGGTTTAAAAAATTATTCACTTTTCCTAAAGTTTTTTTTCCTTTTTGAATTCATTAACTTTTTTGATTTCACAATCATTTTTTAAATTAGTGAATAGTTTTTCCAAATTTACCAACGAATTTTCAATTCATGAGCATCTTTTGAATATTTGACTTTTTTTATTCTCCATGAACATTT